TAATTTATATATTACTGTTACTTTTTAATCAGACCAACCAAAATTAGAGACCCTAAGATAACAACACAGCATTTTTAACATAATAATTTTATCCTCCTTTAGCCCTCCCCTCACTGCTGTGCCACCCTGTGAAGGCTCTGGCAACTAAACCTTCACAATAAGCTATAGACTTAGCTCTTTTTCCATTTTATTCAGAGGCAGAGTCTTACTAAGTCACTGCCCTGCTCAGTCTGATTTAAACATTGTAGCAGAACGTGTCTGGACTACTGGGCAGCAACCAGAGGGCTGGCCAGGGGCACCAAGAGGGCAGCTGGAGGGGGGGGGACAGCAGCCTGGTTCTTCACTCTGCCCTGCCTAGTTGGCTGGTCTCAGGCATCTCACCTTTCTCAGCCTCTGCTATTCCCAAATCTGAAATGGTAACAATAATGGTCCCCATGCAAGCAGGTTCTAGTAAGCACAATGCAGCTGTTGTAGGAAAAGCAATGCATAGTCAATGAATATTAACTGTAAAATCTTGGGATAGCAAGCTTTGGTACAAAAAGCTCAATCTATAGTCTGCCATATATAGTACAAACAATTACTACACTAATGCCATGTATCTGTGTACCTACTTCCTGAGTCTGTGTGTTCTTTGAGGATAGGGAGTCTGACACAGTTGTCTTCCTATAAAGTAGAATGCTGCGTGGCACATAGCTCTACAGTAGATAGTATTAAATTGAATATAGATGAGAAATAAAACCTGGAGGAAAGATAAGAGCTTTGCTTTTGTTTCCCTACCCTGGCTTCTGATTGGGCAGGTTCCTCTAAGAGTTTATCCCCATCTCATCTAAGATTATCAAATGTCTGTGGCACAGTGAGGTTGAACTATGACACAGTTATGAGTCAGGTACCACCTAGGAGCCAATAGATTCCCTCAGTGTGAGCTCTACATTTTACCTTATAGGAGCTCAGACTGATAGGTTACTGGATGTTTTGGCTAAAGCTAAGTCAGAAAAGAGCTGAATGCTAGACAGACAAATGCCTGCAGTAGGTTAGTCTAGGGAGCAAACCTGGCCTCTAAGGGTGCCCCAGGTCATGAACCCTCTGTGACTGACTCCTCTCAAAAGATGAAATGCTCGCAACTCTGACCACTGCCAGTTCAGCCCCAAAACAACTCTCAGATGTGCTAGACATTTCATTTTCATTCTGTATATACTATTTTATTTGAAAAATATATCAGAAATCTTATGCTTTCATTGGACTTGTGGATGACTAATAGTCTCATTGCATTTATTTTAAAGAGGCTACAAATCAAACATGTATGTACATTAGTAATGTTCGTGACTTTTTAAGAAGAGCATTATAACTTTTTATTAAATTTAATATATACTATTTCATGACAAAATAATCTGTTTTCAATTTTAATAAAATAGTTTTTTATACCTTTGAGGACAAATGCATGCAGCCCTGTAAAACAGAGCAACTTCATGAGTTTCCAAATTGTGAGCTCTTTTACAGCCTCTATTTGGTAATTATAGAGATTTATAACCCTCTCCTCCATTCCCACAAAATTCAGAGCTCATCTGTCCAGTTGACTTACAGACTGACTTGGAGCGGTCCACATGCATTTTCTTCAACAATAAGCTATTAGATTAAGTTAATGATTTAAGACTAGTATATATTTGAGAGTAAGAGAAGGAAGTTTAAAACTAATTTATAGGAATATAATCCATTGGTCATTTTCACATTTCATCAAAAATATTTTTGAAGATAGCTCAGTAGTAATTGATTACCCTGAGATGACAAACTCTACTGTTACTGCTTTCCTAATAGCAGAAGGAAGTCATTGATCTTCTTCTAGGTTTAGCCATTGGAATAACCTGACAATTTATCATTTATCGAGGAGTTACTATATTCTAAAGATAATAATCAGAAGTATATCATGGATGCAGTTGATGTTACAAGTCAAACAATGTCATCCATAATAATATATTATACAGATCTTACTGTTATACTTAAATTTATATATGTAAATTTACTTTAACTCTTTTATAAATCATTGAGATTAAAAACTACTAATTCCATGTTACATAAAAATATACAAGTAACATTAGAAATTATAGTATGAACTTCTAAAACTGAGTGATTCAAAGTATATTATTGTTCTGCTTTTAAATAAGTGAAGTATATTTGAAGCAAATTTACTAGTATTACCCATGCAAATTTTCTGAAACAATTCTAATTCTAGAATCTTTATATCTTATTTCTAGAACTTTGTAACAATATTTTCTTGATATAATTAAAATATTAATATTTTAGCTTATTTATAACAATATTTAGGTTATTTAATTTATATCAATATTTCATTAACAACTTGTGCTGTCTAAGTTTTAGTAATTTAAGTTAATTTCTCTTTGTTCTATATACTAGTTTTCTACAATATATAGGTAAGGATTTGATTTTTTTTTGGCCAATTGGTATGAAAATAAACTTAAGTGAACGTTTTTCCTACTTAATGATGCATTTACCACACACTTACAGTATTTCATTTTTATCAAAGTATTTTAGTCATCCACCTAGTATTAATTGATATAAAGCTAGTATGTACAAGTAGAATGATAACCCTATAATAATGTTAATCATGACTATAATTTTAAAGTTAAAATGGAACTATAATTTTCAATATACACTTTGATTTGTTGTTAAATCAATTTAAACATATTCATGTGGCTTAAAGCTGTACTGCTAGGACTCACATGCCCTTTTGGGCCTTGCATTCAATCCCCATGCAGTGCCACCTCTATGCTAATGCTACCATTGCATGCTAAATATCTCTTTTTAGTCCTGAAACTGTGGGGAATAATGACAACAGAGGAGGAGCTGACAACAGGAAGGAAGAAGACCATTAATAAACAGCTATTAGGGACCATGGATGAGAGGCGGCTTTTTCTTTTTTTTTTTAATTTATTTTTTTTATTTGAGAGAGAGAGAGAGAGAGAGAGAGAGAGAGAGAGAGAGTGTGGTGTGTGTGTGTGGCCAGCTCAGCCCACCAGGGGGCGGAGC